ATACTTGACTTTTGATATGGTCTCCCACAGTATTCTTGCCAGCAAGTTAAAGAAGTATGGATTGGATGAATGGACTATAAGGTGGATAGAAAGCTGGCTAGATCGTCGGGCTCAGTGGGTAGTGATCAAGGGCTCAATGTCTAGTTAGCAGCTGGTATCCCCCAGGGGTCGGTCCTGGGGCCAGTTTTTTCAACATTTTCATTAATGATCTGGATGATGGGATGGATTGCACCCTCAGCAAGTTTGCGGATGACACTAAGCTGGGGGGAGAGGTAGATATGCTGGAGGGTAGGGATAGGGTCCAGAGTGACTTAGACAAATATGAGGATTAGGCTAAAAGAAATCTGATGAGGTTCAACAAGGACAAGTGCAGAGTCCTGCACTTAGAATGGAAGAATCCCATGCACTGCTATAGGCTGGGGACTGATTGGCTAAGCGGCAGTTCTGCAGAAAAGGACCTGGGGATTACAGTAGACGAGAAGCTGGATATGAGTCAACAGTGTGCCCTTGTTGCCAAGAAGGCTAAAGGCATATTGGGCTGCATTAGTAGGAGCATTGCCAGCAGATTGAGGGAAGTGATTATTCCCTCTATTCGGCACTGGTGAGGCCACATCTGGAGTACTGCATCCAGTTTTGGGCCCCCCACTACAGAAAGGATGTGGACAAATTGGAGAAAGTCCAGCGGAGGGCAACAAAAATGATTAGGGGGCTGGGGCACATGGTTTATGAGGAGAGGCTGAGGGAACTGGTCTTATTTAGTCTGCAGAAAAGAAGAGTGAGGGGGGATTTGATAGCAGCCTTCAACTACCTGAAGGTGGGTTCCAAAGAGGATGGAGCTAGGCTGTTCTCAGTGGTGGCAGATGTCAGAACAAGAAGCAGTGGTCTCAAGTTGCAGTGGGGGAGGTCTACGTTGGATATTAGGGAAAATTATTTCACCAGGAGGCTGGTGAAGCACTGGAATGGGTTACATAGGGCGGTGGTGGAATCTCCATCCATAGAGGTTTTTAAGGCCCGGTTTGACAAAGCCCTGGCTGAGATGATGTAATTGAGGTTGGTCCTGCTTTGAGCAGGGGGTTGGACTAGATGACCTCCTGAGGTCTCTTCCAGCCCTAATCTTCTATGATTCTATGGTGAAACTCAGGAATCTTCGGTTCCATTCCAGACTCTGGAAGGGAGTGTCAAGTGGGCACAAACACTTATGCCCATTTGCACCCCCCCCACCCCCGCAAGCTTTACCCCTTCCGTCTCATTCCCTCTGACCTGTCCCTAGTTCAGTGCTGTCTCTTTCCCACCTTTGGGTCCTTGATCCAATCTCCACTCTTTAGGCTTCTCATCTCAGCCCCAATCTCCTTGCTCAGCCAATCCTCCTTCTGGGCTTGCTGTCCGAGTCCTAGTCACTTCTCCCCTCAGACAGTCCCACTGTCCTTGCCCAGCCAGTCCCAGTTCTTGCCTCCTGGCTCCTCATTCGACCTGGCTCTCCCTCCCCAACCACTGGCTCCCAGTCTCCCTCCTTGGTCTCCTAATCCAATTTTAGTAGGATCCTCCTGCCTTCCTGGCTCCTTGTCCTGGTGTCCTCTGTCCCTGGTTATCTATCTCAGTCTCTTTGGCCAGCCAGTCCCAGTTATCCCCCTTCACTCCCAGCTCCTTGTCAGATCTGTCTCCCCGCTTCACTTGGTCCTTAGTCCCAGTCTTTGTGCCCAACCAGTCCTATTCTTCCCCTATCTAGTCATTGGGGGAGAGGGATAGCTCAGTGGTTTGAGCATTGGCCTGCTAAACCCAGGATTATGAGTTCAATCCTTGAGGGGGCCATTTAGGGAACTGGGGTAAAAATCTGTCTGGGGATTGGTCATGCTTTGAGCAGGGGGTTGGACTAGATGACCTCTTTAGGTCCCTTCCAACCCTGATATTCTATGATCACAGTATTCTACCCCCTGCCTGCCAACTGGCTCCCAGTCCCCACCCATTTTCCTCTCTAGCTCCCAGTCGTAGCATCCCTCCCCTGACATCCAGTCCCAGTCATCTTGCCCATATATTCCCAGCCTCCCCACCCAGATCCCAGTACCAACCTCCCCTGTCTCTTAGCTCCAGCTTCTCTTTCCTCCCCACTCCTGTCCCAATCTATTCTTCTCCCTCTCATGGGTCCATCTCTTGTCCCCTTTGCATTCAGATCAGATGACTTCCTCGTCCACACTGCCTGGGTGTCATTGCGAGCACAGAAGAGACAGGCTTCCGGCTCTCAGCTCCAGTGCCTGGCCCCACTCCAGCCTTGAGCAGCTGGGAGCACCCATTACAGGGAAAGTCTGCTTCACCCTTGTAGTCCTGGCCTACAGCACAATCAGTTGGCTCCGCGGGGATGGTGCATGCTTGGTCTGGTCACACACTGGAGCTGTTCGGGGATGGAGTATGTGCAATGAGGACACAATCTTTGGAGATTTTAGCTGCTAAAAATAAATAAGAAGTCTCAACTGAGCATACGTGAACTGTGGTTTTTCAAAGACTTGACCCAATTTGGGGATATTTTCATGGGGACAGCAAAAGGCACAGCCCTAGTGCATAGGCCACCAAACCACCAAATTTCACGTTCTGCTTGAAAAGGGGGGAGGGATAGCTCAGTGGTTTGAGCATTGGCCTGCTAAACCCAGGGTTGTGAGTTCAATCCTTGAGGGGGCCATTTAGGGATCTGGGGCAAAAATCTGTCTGGGGATTGGTCCTGCTTTGAGCAGGGGGTTGGACTAGATAACCTCCTGAGGTCCCTTCCAACCCTGATATTCTATGATTCATGAGGGCACTAGCGCTTTAAAAAGACATGGTATCAAGAATTTTTATAACATGCGCAAAACAGATTTCCCCCAGCCTTGTTCTCAGAAACAGGTGAACTGTTTTGGCTGAACTTAAAAAAAAAAATCAGCCTGACCACCTGGCATGTAAAATTTCTTCTCAAATTATTTAGCTTTGGCAAAGTTATAAGCAACTGAAAACAGAGTCTTATAGTGTCGGGCAGCCTTAATAACAGGCAGTGCTACTAGCCCTGCCTATAATAATTGTTGAGAAATGGAGCTCTCACTGCCCTGCTTGTTTTTGGGTCAGACATATTACAAAAAAATGCTTCCCTTGTTACCAAATTGCCACTTGCTTTGTCTGGCTCCGCATAGGCAAATTACTTGTAGGCCTCAAGTTCCTGGCAAGCTGACAAAACAGCCCTTCAGCCCCAAAGCTTAGAAGCCTGTGCCCTATGGAGAGGTTTTCTTAAAATTACATTGCGCTTAGAAGCAGTACACGCACGTGAGTGTTAAACTGGGGATACTTGACTGCCACGTAAGTCTACAGTGTTGAACTAAGGGAGCTGCTGGAGGGCAAGTCACGAGTAGGACCCCAGATGCCAAGTGTCTGAATGAGGTGCCACTCTACTGTTGTAATCGGATGATTGATCTTTATATGCTATATCTTGATTTAGCTTCGTACTGCACTGCCCAGAACATTAGCATTGCAGTCACAGTGTATATTGTATCATTTCTTTGTTCCCTAGGAAACTTAGGAGTGCCAGCCTGCATTTTGGATGCCTTTCCTGGTAACTTATCTTTAGGATACAATATCATTTGTGGCAAGCAGAGGGCACATAATGACGTACAGTCACAATCTCCTAGTTATGAGAAAAGTCCCAGAATGGCCAGTGTCAGAGTAGCAGCATAGCATCACCATGAGTTCATTTCTGTCCTGCCAACCACAAGGTTTGGGGGAGGGAGAGAAAGGGAGACCCAGCCTCAATCAATTATCTGGAACTACCCATCGTCTCTAAAATGGGAAGAAAATAATGTATAAAAGTATACCTTGTGAGGTATCATTTTAAAAGGCTTGATCTGTTGAACATTAATATCCTGTTGGATTATATGTGCTATCATTGTATGTGAAGTTATGAAATATTATTAGATGTGTTACTGAAATATATTGTGAGGTTGGGAACACCCACAACCAGCCTTTCAGTCACAACAAAGGAGTAGCCCTCAATAGTCAGGTGGCATTAATGGCTCATCAACATATAATCCACTACTTTAGAGACTTCTCGGAGAAGGCACGTATGCCGTGGGGGCGGACTAACACACATTACAGCAAGGATCTTTCTAGCAAGTTGGAAGAAGGTATAAAAAGAGAGAAATCATCACTTGGCCTCTCTCCCCTCCCCCCCAACTCAACACCTGGAAGAATGTCTGGAAGACAAAAGACTTTGAACTGAGGGAGTTTGGTCCCAGGCTAGAAGGGTGCCCAGTCTGTATATTGAGGAACTGTAACCTGATTGTGACATCTGGTCAGGGTGAGAAAAGCTGTTTGATTCAACTCTTGCTTAGACTAAAAGTTTAGGGATTTAGAATGCATGTTTACTTTTAAATTTTTTAAGGTAACTGTCTCTGACCTTTATGCCTACCACTTATAATCACTTAAAATCCATCTTTCTGTAGTTAATAAACTTATTTGAATGTTTTAGCCTTACCAGTGAGTTTGTCAAAAGTGCTTGGGAAATCTCAGCTTAGGTTACAAAGGCTGGTGCATGTCCACTGTCCTATGAAGAAGTGAAGAACTAAGTAATGAACTTACACTGGTCAGGCTTCGGACCAGTGCAAGATGATACAGTCTAGTACTCTATGAGTTCTGATGTACAAGACTGGGGAGAACTGGCTGGAGCCTCTAAACTGATAGTTCCATGAGTGGCTGGGAGATCATTCATGTAACACAGCTGGGCGTGTCCCTGCCTGTGGATGGCTGTGTAAGTGCAGTGACTGTCAGAGGTTTGTAGCTTGACATCTGCATCACAGTGCAAGAAGCAACCCAGGTTGGCAGAACAGAGGGTTCAGGTTGCACCCCGGGGACCCCGTCACCACCAGACAGATACTTTTAAAAAAACCCCTCCCATTACAGTTATTCCAAAGTCTAAGTGTGATGCTCACATTTCACACACTCTTTCTTACAGTTTTACACAACTTGCTGCTGGTCTTTGTTTGACTCACCCAATGAACTCCAAAAGCAGAGAGACGTCAAGTTCTGGTGGGATTCGAAACACTGATCCCAAGACTTTCCGAGGTCTTCCTCTGCTCACAGGGACTGGCTGTGGGACAGCTAAAGAAATCAAAGTGACCAAAAAATATATCAGCTGCTGAAGTGCACTGTATGTGATATACAAGCCAAACAATGAGGCATAACCACACACAGCTCAACTATGACTTTCATTAATTCAGTTCCTAAAAACTACATATTTTGTCTGAGTGCCAATAATGGTATTTTCCTACCATACAGCATACTGTCTCTCTGAACAGTGGTTTGTGTCACAATGGGCCATAAAAGTCATTTACACAAGTATCTTTCAACTTCTAACAGTATCTTTAAAGATCTTATATAATAATTTAATTATCTTATCATTTAAGGTATTTCTTACCTTAATTAACGCTTAATGAGATAAAAACGCACATCACACATACATCTTTCCTGGTTCTAGACAAAATATGCATTGTGCAATGAGACAGGCTGAAATCCAACGACAATTTAGATTATTTGTTGAGTGCCGATAATGTGCTTATTGCTGCACAGCACACAACAAATAAAAACAGCCCCTACCTCAAGGAGTTTAAAACCCTGAAAACAAAGAGGTGGCGTTGACTGGGAAATCCTGAAGCATAGAAGATAATGTATGTTTGTTCAGATGTTTTCAGTTATGTTCATTCTCATAGGAATTACCTTAGTGGATCAGACCAATATCCTATTGTCCAATATCCTATTTCAAACAACGGCCAGAACCAGCTACTTAAATGAAGAAACCTTGTAGTGGGCAATTATAGAATATCATGCCCACAAAAAATTTCCTCCTAAACCCCAGTAGCTGGAGGTTGGCTTATGCCTCAGAACATATCATGACGAATTATTTTCTTTAGTAGCTTCTCGTGAGGGACACTTTGTCAAAGGCCTTTTGCAAATCCAAATAAATTATGCCTACCAGTTCTTACGCATACTATTTTATTGAAATAGTCAAAGAATTCCAATAGATTAGTGAGGGACAATTTTCTTTTGAAGATGCTGTGTTGGATAGATTCTACCGTATCATGATCTTCTAGGTGTTCTATACATCTGTTTTAAAATCTTCGCAAAATAATAATGTATCAGAAAAGACACTTTGTACTTTTACCCTTTCTTTTCATTAGATGGGTCTCTGATTAGTTCATTGAGCTTCATAATACCCTAGAAAGGTAGAGAAGCACTATAATCTTCACTTTATGTACAGAGAAACAAGCAGAGAAAGCTAAAAGGACTTGACTGATAAATGACTGAAGATTATTCAAGTGACTAGCAATTAGTATGTCACAGACAAAATACCGTGCATTTCTGAACTCTGTAGTACTGGGAGTTATTGGTTGCATTTTCACATTGTAAGACCATCCCTAGTTTTTATTAAATATCTAAAAGGTCATGATATATGTTTTACATGCACACACAAAACCAAAACAATTCAAAATAAATCTCAGTAACTTGAAACAGAGTTCAGATCATTGTGGCATTTCTTCCAATAGTGAACCACTATTACAAAAAGAAAGACTACTGTTAGGAAATATTTAAAATTGTATCTTTTTGTAATACTTATTCCCCCAAAGTAAAGTAATTATAAACTCACCAGGTTTGGGTACTTCTAGACCTCTTTCTTTATAGAAATCATGCATCTGCTTTTTCTCTCCTGAAAAAATACAAAATACATTGTAAGCTTGGCTTTGTTACCTATGGCAAATAAAATACCTGGCAGTCTAGTGTCCAATAACGGCTTAAAGAATTTACTGGAACAATTCCAATTATCATTAATAGGGGCTTCCCAGGCATCTGTGAGACAGCAGCCCCCTTAGTGTTTCATATTAGAGACAAATTATATTAGATTATGTGCAACAAGTTAGTACTGTAGAGTCTATTAACGAATATAACCAGGACTTGGAAAATTGCCACAGAATACTTTATTTTTGTACTAAATGCTGCATACTATTCCTTATCTTAATCATACCTGAGAAACAGTTACTTTGCAACAACAGCTTTGAAAAGTTTGTGGACTTTTGTTATTGTAGATATGCAAAAAGAGCTCATGTTTTAATGGCGCTTCAAGCTGATGTAGATGATCATCCATGATGCGTACTAGCGTTCAAAGCATTCCAGAGAGATAACCCAGATGGCAAATGGTCACATGCATTTATTCAGACAACGCTTGAAAATTATTATATTACCACCACACCATCACCTTTGTTGGCTTATAGCTCAGATTGCTCAACTGAATTCCTTATCAAGGCACTCATTGAACAGCCAATAAATCACTAGAGCCCTGCGCGGATACAAATTTATATCCGTGGAGCTGCAGGGCTCTACCGGGAACCGCAGTGGCAAACTGAGCAGCACGACAGGCCACTGCTCCCAAGAGTCAGCACCCCGCGCCAGAGGCTCATCTGGCATGGCTGTACCACTCGCAGCCCTGCCCGCAGCCCTGCCCACTGGGGAGGACATCAAGCTCACCGACAGTTGTCAATGGTCGCGCTTATGTGTTCAAGCAGCTCGCATGCTCCCAGACAGGAGTCCCTTCCATGCAGTGGTCTGCATCTCCTGTCTGGGGCAGGGCTGGGCTGGGCTGGGAGCGGTACAGCCATGCTGGAGGAGCTGCCAGTGCGAGCAATGGCTGCTGGGAGCGGCAGTCCCATGTGCTGCTCTTTTCGTTGCTGTGGTTCCCAGTAGAGCCCTGCAGCTCCACAGATACTGATTTACATCTGCAGATATAAATGTGTATCTGCGCAGGACTCTATAAATCATCAGCTAATCCGCCATTCACATCCACACCAGCCTCAACTCACATGCCTTACCACCCCCAAACATCATAACAACCAAATACACTCACAGACTCTTCAGCACGTACCCTTTCAGTTCTAACATGACCAGCCAAAATGCACACATCCAGTTCCTCACAGCAGCACTCAGATGAATGGGGGAAAGCAAAGCTGGGCAGGTGGTATGCGGTGAGAAGGAGGTTAGGCTTGGTACACTACAGAGTTAGGTTGACATAAGGCAGCTTACATCGACCTAATTATGTCAGTGTCTACACTACAATGCTGTTTAAGTGGCCTGCTATACTGACATAACTCCACCTTCACAAGAGGCATAGAGCTTATGTCGATGTAGTTAGGGCAGTGCAGTGTCTGTGTAGACACTGCATTATTTACAATAGCTGCTGACTATGAGCCCCAAGGGGGCCGACAGCTGGAGCCTTGCCCGCCCCGCCCGGCGCTGACAGCCCAGGGCACAGGCTCACAGCTGTGAGCCTCTCCCCATTGCGGCACTGACAGCCCAGAGCCTTGCTGCCACCTCCTGGTGAGGGATTTGGTGGTGGGGAGAACTGCCACCCAAGCTCAAGCTCTCTCCCCTCGTCCCAAATCCCTCACCAGGAAGCAGCAGCAGGGCTCACAGCGGATGCTCTTCCCCTTCCCCCCTAGGGCTAGGGCTGCGGTGAGCCACAGGGGGTACAATTTCACCGCAGGGAGCCTACCAGGAGTGAAATTGACATTCTTGTCAGTTTCACAGCTGCTATTATTTCACATTTTCTCTCTGGCTCCAGCTGTCAGCCCTGGAGCCTGGGGGCTCCAGCTGTGAGCCCCACATGGGGCTGACAGCTTGGGCTGACAGCCCCAGGGGAGGGGGAGGGGGCTCCAGCTCTGAGCTCCCTGCAGGCTGACAATTGGAGCCAAAATGTGAAATAATAGCAGCCGTGAAACTGACAAGAATGTCAATTTCACTCCTGGCAGGCTCCCTGCTGTGAAGTTGAGCCCAGTGCAGGCTCACAGCTGGGGCTATCAGCAAGGGGGTGGGAGGCAGACTCAGAGCAGTGAATCCGGCACCTAGAAGCTCAGCTGTCGGGCGGAGGGGGGCCCAGCTCTGAGCCTGGCACACGCCTAACAGCTGGGGAGACCAGCTGTCAGCCCCAGGGCTGCCGGGCTCCAGCTGTCAGTGTTCCACAAAGCCCCACTTCAGTTGCTGGACACGCACTGCTGACAGAAGGTGCAAGCATGGACATGAACCACCCCTTTAATTACTGTGGTGGCTGTATATCGACTTAACGCCAATGGACTTAATTTTGTAGAGTAGACAAGCCCTCAGATTGACAGATATTGCAACCACATGTAGTATCTTTGGAGACTACTGTATTAATGTTACGAAGGTTCTGTGTATCATTGTGAGCTAGGGACTGTATTCTCCATGGAGAAAGTTACCGTAACTCCTCCAGAAACTAAGAACAGCAGGGGGTGATGACTGCCATCTTTGGGACTGTAAAGAGCTCCAGAGAAATACCACCCCAGAGCGCGTGTGTTAGATATACTGGTTCAGACCAGCTTCAAGGGATGCAGAGAAAGGGCAGCTTGAACTGACTGAGGGGCCTTTCTTTTGATTCAAACACACACACCTGACCTTTTGTCCAAAGAGGGACCCAATCCTGTTAAAGGGTTGGAACAACACTGACCTGCCAGACTCCCCCACGGGGGAGACTAGCAACTTCTGGTACATTTAGTATGTGTTTAGACCTTATCGTATGTTTTCTCAGTATGCTTTTGTCCAAAAATAAATATATTCTGTTTTAAGAGAGCTGTTTGGCTACTGGTAACTCGAGCACACGCTGGTCCGTGGCGTTGGAGAAAAGGCAAAGAGCAGGGTCTGGACTCCTAGTCAGACCTGCTGGGATAAACACAATGAAGTGCAATGGGGGTTGCCAGCCTAAATGCCTGGTGAGAAGGAGGTGAGTCCCTCACCAGAGAGAGGTGACAGCTAGAGGCCTGAAACTTAAGAGTAGACCACACAGGGGGTCAGTGGTACGGCTACTCCAAAATCATGACACCTGGTTTCTATATGACTAAACAGCACTTGAAGTACTTCTCACTTCAATGATGCTTTGTGCACTCAGGAACCTAAGCCACTCTCCTTACTCATACCCCAGCTCATTCCCCATGCTCCCTGCTGCCCAAACTGCTCACTGGCTCCATAGGATCAAGGATAGCGGGGAGGGGGCCTGGAGCCGATCTGGTAAGTCAGGAAAGGGGACTTCACAGCATTAGAAAATTGAAGTAATTTACAGAACCAGGCTGTTTCAGGAGCTACTCTTGGTGGAACTAAATGAGATTATGATGAATTAGGGGAATTAGTTTGTTATATTTAAAAATGTGCAGGTGTGTACATGATGTCTGGAGTTTGTGGCAACTGTGGTTCTTTAGATATAGGGAGCAAAACAAATACAAAAATCCACATACAAGTTACTGTGCGGTCTAAATTTCAAAGAGGGAGCATTTTAAAATTTGTCCTCTGCCAATGTTAATAAACCCGTGAGGAAAAAGATATTATGGAACATTCAATTGTCCCCGGAGAGTTAGTGTGCAAAGTTTTGTGCAGAAGGCCTGGAAATTAAATGCAATTACTTAAAACTGGTATACAAGGATTTTACAAATCTCAATAAAAGCTTAATTATGGAATCATAGAATCATAGAAGATTAGGGTTGGAAGGGACCTCAGGAAGTCATCTAGTCCAACCCACTGCTCAAAGCAGGACCAACCCCAACTAAATCATCCCAGCCAGGGCTTTGTCAAGCCAGGCCTTAAAAACCTCTAAGGATGGAGATTCCACCACCTCCCTAGGTAACCCATTCCAGTGCTTCACCACCCTCCTAGTCATTACCGTCACCATCATAGTGACTATAGTGGGTGACCTACATCATGTCAGAGGACAGAAGTTTCAGTGTGTTCATGGACTGTGTGTAATAGCATCTTAGCAGCCTGACAAACACCAATCTGTGTGGCTAGTAGGATTTATGGACAACGCAAAACTAGTTTTTACAAAAAACATTTAAGTTTGACCATTTTCAGGAGCTGAAACGTGGAAATACAGTGTTCTGAATTGAAATGGCTACCAGCTTGTCCGTTCAAGTCCTTCCTATTTATTAGGGCACCAGGGTGGTAATGAAGTGAAAACAGACTTACTCTCCTCCAGATTGACAACCAATTTATACACTATGTCTTGTAACTGTCGATCCAACCTAACAAGAAGAAAAAAAGAGAGGGAATGATCCTTAGTTAGGCAGGACACATTCACACAATAAGCTACTGAATATTTAATACATTAAAAAAACGTATTGTAACAGATATTGACATCTTTTGGGTGCAATATAAAAACACTTAGATTAATCATAACATTTTTGTAGAGGAGCTAAATATATTGCTGAACACAGTACACACCAACAGGAAAATGACAGATAGAGCACCGAACT